CATGGTTTAGTGGGCATGGTGGTGTTGGGTTGACGGTTGGACTCGATGATCTTAGAGGTCTTTTCCAACCTCAATGATTCTATGATTCTATGATTCTATGAACTTCCCAAAGCCAGTACTTGTCCTAAAAGTACTGGAGAGCAATTGAAAGAAATTCTTTCATTATGAAATTCTTCATAATTTCAGGGAGGTTGGTCTAGGATAATTCACACAGGAATGATGAGAAATGCATTTTGTAGCTGAACATTCCAATGTTCAAACCATGTTCAAAAAATACAGTTGAGCTGTGAAGGCACTGAAGTGCTTCTGGAAGCTTGTATTTGAACAAAGCTGCACTTTATTCTTCTGTAATTCTGGAGTGTGAAAGTGGCTTGCCTAAAATTGAGATTGATTGTATTGTAGGTGATTGAAGCAAACTTGAGTGGAGAAATGAACTTGAAAATAGAAACTGACTTAGTATCTGTAACAACACATTTTAAAGACTTGGGAAATCCTCCCTGGGGTAAGTTTCCCTGTTTGTTGCCTCTTGTGTCTGTCTGATCTTGTTACTTAAATGTGATGCTGATAACAGTACTTACCTTCTGTTAGTCCTTAGAAACTAGCATCAAGTACTTTGAAGTCTTCAAATGAAAGAAAAGTGGCCAATGGCTGTTTCATGTTTGTGGGGGGAATCTCTTCCAGTATCCTTGACAACTTTGTAGGAAAACTGGGCTTTCTCTTCCTTGCACTGCTGTTTCTGAAAAACCACCCATTTGAGTACCAGCTGTTCAGTGATTACCAGGTGTGTCCTTATAGGTGTTGAAACTCCCTCTGATGTTTTGACTAAGTGTTGTGTTCTTACGCTTTTAGCATCAGAGGACGGATGTCAAAGTTCTGCTCAAGGCAGAGATCTGGAAAACATGGCTGAGGCACGCATAGACATCAAGAAGCTGCAGCAGCTGCTTGCTGGACAGCAGGTCAATCCCACAAAAGCATTGTGCAGTAAGTTCAACAGCTCTGCTTGCAAACTCTGGTTAAGGAGGGATGTTTGCCATACTTGTAGTCTTAGCAGAACAGCATATCTTCTGTTTTGTCTGTTTGAAACTTGACTATTTTTACTGTACCTGAGGACTCTTAATATTTCTATTTTTAGGCAGTAAGCTTCAGGCCTTAGGCATTTGGGGAAGAAAAAAAAACATTAAAAAAAATTAAGCCAGGCCCTTTTATAAGTATCAAGTTGAATACTCTGACTAATCATGGGTGTCTTCTTGTTGTCTTTGTTTTGAAGTTGTTATTATTTATTATTATTTTGAGGTATTATTTTTTTTGAAAGTCTTAAAACAAAGCCCCTAATTTCTAGCAGAGAAACTTGTATTTACTGACATGTTTGTTTGTGGTTTTTTTTTTTCTTAGATGCTTTCTTACATTCAGCATCAAATTGATTCTAATACCAAAATGCTTTTTACGCATCTAGTGTTTCTAGCCATAGAAACGATATGTTCTTTCTAGCAGAAGCCTATGCAGGGTTTTATATCCTATTTTGATAACTCTGTATGCTTTTCCTGAGAACATCTGTGTATTATGGTTTAGTGCAGATGTTAAGAATTTCCCAAGGAAGATTTAAATCATGGGTATAGCATTATAGGCCTATACATTACATATTTCCTTTTTGGTATCAGCTTTGATATACTCTTCAGTAACGCTTCATAGACCCTCAAGGACTTAAATATTACAGGGTGATATGTCTGGTCGTCCTTCTGTCAGAAGTGGTAGAAGCATTGTATTCTTACGGTGGCATTCTGTAGAAGATGTGATTTTAAAGTATTTTTCCTGCTTTAAACTGGATTTGTGGTTTTTTTTTCCTCTTTACAGATATTGTAAGTAAAAGAATTGTCCACTTCATCTTGCTCCATGAGGATGTTTCGCTTCAATATTTTATTCCGGCACTTGCCTGAATGTTTTGGAATCTTGGTCATTTTCCAACCTGAGGCCTTTTCCACAAAGTCTGAAAACTTTCATGAGTTGCTGGAGTACTCACTCTCATGTGATACAATGTTAGATGCAGCCATCAGATGGACATTATCTCCATATGTATGAAATTATTCAAAATATCTCCTCATCCAGAAGGCCATTTTTGTGAAGAGTTACATGCTATGAAAGACACAACGCTGGGGAGCTGGCATATCTGAGCGTTACGGGGAGCAAAACTGAAATTTGTATGTGCTTTTGGGATGCTTTGAGCTGTGGGGAAGGCAACGTAATATTTTTTTTTTTCTTGTCAACAAACATAAAGGTAGAATTGACCTCTGGAGCTGCTGCTGGGTGTATTCAGTATTGGACAATGCAGCTCCAAGTTAAGGGATCTCCAAGCAAGCTGTCATACCTCCATGGAGCAGGAGAGCCCTCTGGAGGGTTGACAGATGCGTATTTGCCTGGGCAGGTAAGCACAGCCCTCCTGAAGTGGTACTGGATTGACTTCTGTTCCAGCAGCGATGTATATGGACTTGATGCTGCCGCACGTTGTGCAGCAGAAATGTGTCTGAGGCAGAGGAGCTTCCTGTGGCTGCCAGCATGTAACGGGATGTAACACGCTAAGGAGCACTTTCAGCTCAGCAGCATCTGTTTGTACCTGTTTGTATCTTTTGATCTGACTTGCTCCAACATACCTTAGTAGTTCTGTTAGTGCTTGAACTGGTGTGTTTAGCTCTTGGCCTAAGAGGATGAGATAAACAGTCTGAATTACCTTGTTAATGTTGGCAGCGAAGGTCTGTATCTACGTACAGAATGAATATCATATGAGGACATGTGTGAACACAGCAATTGGTGTAAAATAAAGGGCAAGTTATCTGTGGATCATGTTTTTTCTCTTTTCCAGATGGAAAGCATTGTACAACCTGCGTCGTCATTGTGTCAGACATGGTGAGATTGTATGTAGGCTCTGATGCCAAGCAGCCAAGAGCATGACTAAGTCTCACTGACAGGAGTACTGCCCCTGCTTCTACTTCCTGGTTACCTTCTGAGGTCTTCTCCTCCTTACTCCATGTATGATTGTATTTGTTATCCAGCCATGTTCTGTATAGCCTTTGGTGTTCCACAGGGTTTTGAATATCTTATGAAACCTCTTGTTTGAGAAATAGTGAGTGGGTCTTTACTGCCAAATGGGACTGGGAGTTTCTGCTAGACAGTAACTCTTGTGCTCAGAAGTGTTGTTTTGTTTTGTTTTGTTTTGTTTTCAAGGGGCATTGAGGTTAAGGGAGCAATTAATCTTTCTGTTTTTGCAGATGCAAATGGTCAAGAGAAGGCTGAAGGAGAGGCAGTGGCTTGGGAATGTTACGCTTCTTTGCCTTCTTCCACCGTTTCTATCAGACTAACCAGAAAGCATCTTCCAAATTCTGTTAGTTTTCATGGGCAACTGCAATTACCCAAAAAATTTATGTAAGATGAAAATAGCTGTACACCAGGTTACAGCAAGTGCATGGTAAGAGGTATGTGGTAAATATTCCTGGGCTTTCTCCTGAGGAGAGGGGAAAAACTGTCAGAGTATGATAAAGAGTATGCACTATGAAAGTAGGCTTTGAAATCTTTGGATTTTCTCCATTGGAAAATGCATTCTATACAACCTGATGGAAATGGCTTTTTCTGGTATAGCATAAGAACTACTAATAATGGCCTCTCAGCTATGCGGCTCTGTTATTGCTATTTTTAAAAAGAGATCAGAAGTTATAATTGCAAGAAAATGTGTTGTGGTTTTTTTTTATATAAAAATTAAATAAAAGTGGGAGTAATGCTGGTACAGGTCAGCAGCATACAGTGAGATGTCCGTTTCATATTCTGGAGGGGAGGAGGCTAGATGGACCAACAGAGGTGAAGTCTCTCCAGTCCCAGTGCTTTCTTACCCTTCCCACCTGAATACAGCACAAGGATACAGCTCAGCCCTGCCATCCAGTTGATGCATACATGCTGATCAGAGGGAAAATAATACTTACTCAGGTTTAAACCTGCTGTCATCTGTGAATCCAGTTGTCAGAGCCCTGAGGGCAATATTGGGCCTTAGTGGCCCTAAGCAGCCTCACCAGGGAACCCTACCCACCCCCTGTCCATGGGCCCACAGATCCTATTTCAGCTTGGGCTGTGGCATCCTGTACTCCCCTAAGCTATGTTGTAGGTGGGCCTGGGCCCAGCCCTATTCCTGAATCGATGTTTGGACTTCCTGGATTGGCTTTGGAGAGCTGTTGCTCTCGCCACCTGGTTCTGCTTGCCTGGTTTAGGTTCTGTGGACCTGTGCCCCAGGTGTAGGGGTGCTGCCTAGCCTGCATTGTGGCCACCCTCTGCTCCTGGCTCCTCACTCCTGGAGCAGCCTTGCTCTTGCTGCTCCCTAACACCAATAATGAGAAGAAATATTTCTCATCAACAGCCCTAGCTGGTTCCACATGAAGTTTTATGGTTTATGCCAGAAAGTTTTTGTTCTGGCTTAAGCCACTGAGACAAAACAGAGTTACGAGCCACTGGTGGGACTACAAAATAACTGTAAGACCATCCAGCTTCTTTCCAACGCTTTGTTCTCCTAATGCAAATTTCTGTTATGGCATGTTAGGAGTGGCCGCTACCTCCAGCAGCTCTGGCCCAGAACTTCTCCTGCACAGCTACTGGAGCCCAGCCTCGGGTATCTGAGTACCAAGGATGTGTTATGCCCTGGGCTGAGGGATGTAGCTGCTGCTTTCCCACTTGCAGGTTCAACCAGCAGTGAAGCTGAGCTCATGTCCTAGAGACGCATACAGACACACAGACACTGATGTGGCTGGTCACAGACTACCACAGACAAGCTCTGCCTTCAACTGCATCTACATACAGGACCCATGTAAAGCAAGCACAGGCAGCCACATCCCCTTCCTCCTCTTCATCTGGCAGAGACAGAAGGTCGCTAGTGCAGGCACACAGACAATGCTCTCTCGGTTCAGAAGCACATACACAGTTGTAGTTCCCTCGAGTACTAGCACTGTCTGCCTAGTACACCTGCCCAGATCCTGTCCCTCTTAACTGCCCCATGGGTCCCCTATTCTCTGGCTCGTCCAGGTTGGTGCTCGCTAGCAAACATGCAGCACCCACACTTGTCCCACAGGCATCCTGTACTCACAGGTCCCTCTGGGACAGACCCTTGGCCTGCCTAATACGCCAGCCCTGACCCAGGCCCTCGTACTCACTGGCTCATCCAGCTTCAAGTTTGACAGCAAACGCACACCCCATGCACACCCAGTTTGGGGAACACACAGACACTTACCCCCCACATCAGCCAGCACGAGGTACAGGGGCTGTGACCCACGGTCCTGCTCCAGCTGCTGGCACCAAGCCCCGCATCTGCCTCACTAGTGCCAGTCCCCCCCAGCAGTTGATTTTTGGGATACACACCATTCCCACCCCAGTGGCTGGTGGCTGGGACCCCCTCACTCCAGTAGCTGATACCACAGCCCTGGAGCACCTACACCCCCAGTCTGACTCCAGTAGCTGGCACCAATCCCACTCATGCTGTTCCCCCCTGTAGCTGGCACCTAGTCCTTGCAGCACATAGACACACAGGATAGAGAGGGAGGTTATGCAGAGAGCGTGAAGAAAGGACTTAAGAAGAAGATAGGACAGACTGCGGTGATGAGTGTATTGACCAACCCCTTTTACATGCCTTTCTGCCTATTCTCCATTTGTTCCTCCCTGCTCCCCCTTGCCCTGCTCATTGCCTCATAAGTTGACATATTTCCACCCACCCCCTCCAACATGCTGGTCCCTGAGGTTTGCATCTTTATCAGTTGCGAAGTCCCATTTTGCTTGTGTTGCGGGTTGACCCCGGTAGGCAGCTCAGGCCCACGCAGCCACTCGCTCAGTGCCCCCCCAGTGGAAAGAGGGAGAGAATTGGAAGGGTAAAAGTGAGAAAACTCGTGGGTTGAGATAAAGACAGCTTAATAGGTAAGGCAAAAGCTGTACATGCAAGCAAAGCAAAACAAGGAATTTGTTCACTGCTTCCCATGGGCAGGCAGGTGTTCAGCCATCTCCAGGAAAGCAGGGCTCCATCATGCGTAATGGTTACTTGGGAAGACAGACTCCGTAACTCCAAATGCCCTCCCCTTCCTTCTTCTTTTCCCCCAGCTGAGCACGATGCCATATGGTGTGGGATATCCCTTTGGTCGGCTGGGCTCAGCTGTCCCAGCTGCGCTCCCTCCCAACTCCTTGTGCACCCTCAGCCTATTTGCTGGTGGGGCAGTGTGAGAGAGAAGGCCTTGATACTGTGTAAGCACTGCTTAGCAATAACTAAAACATGGGTGTGTTATCAACACTGTTTTGGTCACAAATCCAGAACATAACACCATATGAGCTACTATGAAGAAAATTAACTCTATCCCAGCCAAAAGCAATATAGCCTGCAGTTTCTTGATAGCCCAACAATATGTGTGAATGACCAGGGTTTTGGGTTTTTTTTCCTGGTTGTTGTCTTTGTTAATGCTGATTGGTCAGGTTTTATATCTGTGTATTTGTCTCCTTCCTTTTCCTTATCATCCCAATACAGGATGTGCTCAATCAGATAACCTTGCTGGAATAAACATTCTCACACTCCCACACACACTGCCTCTCTTATAATTTGTCCATCAGTTTTGTGTCCCTTTATGTTCTTATTTATGGTTTCCTCCTCTTCTTCTTATCCCTTTTTTGCATTGGAAAGGTCCTTGACCAGATACCCTTAAAGGAGCAGACACTCTTCTTCCATATACACTTACAGTTTTCAATACTTTTCATCCTCCTTATTCTGAAGACTAGCAAATGATTTTATTGAAACAGAATTTGGTGATGGTTCATCATACCATATACACTTAAATGATTCTAATTTTTAATTGTGGTATTCTGAAAGTGGGTATTAATGCCTGCAAGTGACTGTATACAATTGCTTTCTTTTAGCTGTCTGTGAAACTCCCTGTGAAGGTTCTTTGAGGCTGCAGGTAAGTGGGAGCAGCTGGCTAGTTCAGTCTCTTCCTTCAGTGAGCTCTCTTGTGCTGTTCTCCTGTTTCATCATGTTTACTCCTGCTGTATGCACACAGGCGTATACATGCTCCTCAATAAACTTACTTTATTTCACTCCAACAGTAGATAATTTGTGCTTAATTATCATCTACTGTCTACAGAGTACACTGGATGAAGGACACATGGTTAAACAAGGGGATAAGACTATATTCTGTAATGTGTTTGGCTTAATTCTACTTAAGATTTTGTCCAGAGCAATCAACTTCCCCCTTGATGAGTCAATGGGATACTGGCTCCCAAAACTGTGCAGGCACAGATCTATGTTTTAGGTAAGTGTTATTTTGTGAACACATTATTCTACATAAATAACATACATACTGAAACCCCTGCTAAAGGCTACTGAAGAGTATATGAAGTCACTGACTTCCTCTGGTTACTTGCTAGACCCAAAAATCAAAACCAGGGAGAAGAGGGGATTTTTCCCCTCCATTTTTAAGGGACCTCCTTCTGTTGTGCAAGACTTTGCTGCACATCCACTGTGGTAATGGATAGTGAGGGTGGGGAGTGGTAGGTATTGTTGAATTTCATTTCAGGATCACATTTGTTGCATCTAAGTATACCTGTTACTATGTGTCCCAAGCAATTCTATACTTCATATGAGTGATCCCAGTTGATTACTTGGTGCCTTCCTCAAAATATCCATTAATTTTGGAGAATGTTTCTTGGAAACATGTCTTTACAAATTCAGCGTCTGTATTATGGATTGAAAATTTGACAACTTGCTGTTGGCAGGCAGTATAAACAGTTCAGTGCAAATACATTTACACTGATGTGGACCATATACTTTTC